CGTTGTGTTTCGCCGTGTGAGTGAGATTACCGGAGGCCCGATCCTTCCCCTCCCCCAATCCTTAAATCTCCAAATCCCTAATCTCCACAAGGTCTGCAATGTACTAGTCACTTCTTTGTTGTTGCTTGTGTCCATTGGCGGTGCTGATTGCTTACCATCAGCTAACCAAACGAGCAGGCGAATTACCTGATGGTAAGCCGATCTATCACATTAAAAGAAACAATGTATGAAATAATTTTCTCGAAAATTTCTTCCTCGCACAGCAAAACTGTCAACTGGTGGTAGGTACTCTAAAACCGATACGACCTCCAAACATTTAAGAAAATATGCTCTTTCTTAAAACGCCAGCAACGCACTTGTTGATTTGATCGTTTGATGTTGCGATTGCCTATATTGGTGGTGATTGTTTTTCATAGACTGATGCGTCAGCTTGTAGTAAACGTTATCTCAAAAACAAAAACAGATACCTAATAAACTGGATACCTGCGTCAATCACAAACGGTGCGAATGACAAGGCTACCTGTCTAGATAGAAAGAGGCTTCTCAATTTATTTCAATACTATAAATATAGAACAAGTTATATAAATCATTATTACTAGAAACATCTGAATTTGGATTCTTTTTCAGTTACTCTCTTATAAGAAGTTGATCCCGAACTTAATGTTCATATCATAAACATATTACTTTAGTAAAAGGCGTAATCAGGTATATTTTTAATTAAGCTAATATTCAAAAGAATCTGTCTTTTGAATATTAAGGGGGGATTAAGTACCTGTTTGAATAAAAACAAATATTTCGACTATGCTGCTATGCTAACTTCCTATTCAAATATAGAATAATATGAAAAATAACGTTGTTGTTCAATTGTTTCTTAACACTGGGAAGGGCCTACGCTGATCCATTTTGTTTTTAAAAAACTATTTAACTTTTGTTTTTAAAACTAAAAATTAAAATTCTGTGACGAAATGAAATGCTATCGAATCACTTAATATTGTCAACATTATTTTTTAATATTATCAATAAGTTTTATAAAAAATAATACACACAAAATGACCTAAAACACAACTTCCACTCCATTAACAATATCTATAAAAACTCGTCTCCAAATAAAACTCTCTGCCTTTTGAACTTGATATATGCAAATATTATTGATAAATATGGTCGGGGATCGGATTTGCACGTCAAAAGGATATCCCGGATCATGCGGATTATCCGCAAGAACGGCCTGACATCCGTTGTCTAATAATTTTTTTTTTTTTATGTAATAGGACGGCAAACGAGCAGACGGATTACCTGATGGTAAGCAATCAGCGCCGCCCATGGACACTCGCAACGGTGGAGTTACGAGTGCGTTGCCGACCTTTCAGGGATTAGGGATTTGGAGATATAGGGATTGAGGAGGGATTGGGGAAGGGGAAGGATTGGGCCTCCGGTAACCTCACTCACACGGCGAAACACAACGCAGTGGTTATTTCACGCCGGTTTTCTGTGAGGCCGTGGTATCACTTCGGTCGAGCCGACCCATTCGTGCCGAAGCATGGCTCTCCCACACACACAAATAAGGAAGTTTGATATTAAAAATATTAAAATGAACAGCTCGCCTTATATTCCCTGAAAGTCCTGAAACAGAATGTACAACGCCGGTTTTCTCTGAGACTAGTGGCATCACGCACGTTGAGGTAGCCGATTCTCACCGAAATATGGGTCTCCCATTCCTCAAGTCATAACTTTTTTTATACTTATTATTCGTTAGTTTCAACGAATCACAAAGTTACTTATAATATAAACGTAAAAGCTTGTAAGTATCTACTGAATGGCTTTGATGAATATTGGCACAGAGATGATTTATAATTCATTTTGATTTGATTTAATTTAAAATTTGGTATAATACCTATAGTTTGGAATATCGAATATCATCCCGGTCACGTGTGCTTATATAATAAAGTTCTTCATATATCTATCTGTCAAACCTTAACTTTCAGATATCATTGTAAGTACTTTTTGAAACAATGGCGTTGTTTATGTGCTCACCGTGTCAGCAGTACTAGTTTGTAAATCACAGAAAAGAACAATACCTTGAAAATGACTTACCGTAGCATCATTCGTTTGCTGCGAAAAGGACAAATATATAATTAGTTTGACAACAAATAATTCAAAATTTCCGTATTGCAACTAAAACAAAACATCTGTTCTAAAAACTGAGATTTTTAATAACCACAACTGATGGTTCGTATAGAACGTTCGTTGTCCGTGTTTTAAATCAGATAATTAATGTACCATGGAAGGCAATAAAACAATTCTCCGCGACTAATAGGAGTCGAGGAAAATTTATTTTCAAAGGGGAAAACAAAAACCTTACAATAAGATTTTTTGCGTGGGGCGAGAGAGAGGTTTCGACTCAAGCTGACTAAAAACCAGACCGTTTCTTCTCTTACTTTATATAAATATATAGAAGACAGAGCAGGTGAAACCTTGAGAGAGCAACTAGTATGTAGCTTTATCCAACAAAGCGTAAACATTAAAGTAAACATCATAGTTATACATCTACTAAATCACTGTCACACACAAAACCAGAGAGACTTGTCAAAGCGAACATGCAAATAGTCTAATCCCGAGAGATTCACATTTTCCTAATCCGATGATGCTTGTAATGTGAAATGGGAAATTCCCAGTGCTAACGAAAGTTTCGTCACGTCCGAAGTTAGGTCGGTCTATCACTTATAACTACCCCATAAACGGTAATAGGCAAGCAACTCCAGATATATGAGAAAAATACGTGGACCAAACAGATTGGGGTACATTTTATTTTTGGAAGCTTGTGGCAAAGGTGGGAGAAACCGTGAGCAAATTTCTCCTCACTCGAGCCAAAAAAACTGCTAAATATTTTTTTGTTGAGAAAAAGTTAGTTTTAAATAATGTAAAATTTAAGTATGCGAGAACCATGCTTCGGGGCCGGCGGTCGTGAAACAACATTTAAGTTGTGTTTCGGCGTGTGAGAAAGGATAACGGCGGCCCAACCCACCCACTCACCCCAAATCTTTAATTCACAAATCCTCGATCCTTAAATCCCTAATACCCCCACAAAAGACACGCCTGTCACTCCTTAAGCGTTACTAGTATATAAAATAACATTTGTAGTATATAAACCATCATAGTTCCAATTTTAAAAGGTTTTATATTTAAAACACCGGAATACATAATAACAGTACCTACTTGTCTAGTACTAACTGTAATTTAGGTACAATCTGTGTACACCACATCCCTAATCTACAAATAGAATCGTTCCGTCAAACATTGTACCGCGAGATTAGTTTCGGGTTCGAAATATCCGCACTCAGCATTCGGATACGAATCGCGACCTCACTAGCTAATTAGTTCCCTATGTTAGCTTCTCATTACACATCTGATTTATCTGAATTAATTTCCGTGTTTCATTCTGTTGCTTGTATTTATATTACGTGTGTGTGCAACGTGCAACTGTCGAAGATATACATGTCATGGTGGCTCGTGGGTGTTCGAAACCTGTCAAGTACCAATGTGACTTTTTCCGAGTCTTTTTTATTTTTTTTACCGTTGCCCCACACTAGGATTTTTTCCTGTGTCGTGGGTGCCTTTACAAAAATACAAATTCACATACGCAACACACCCAGACCCGAAACAACCATTTGTGGGTCACACAAAGTGTTATTCCGTGCGGGAATCGAACCCGCGACACGTTGCACAGCAGCCAGTTGCCCAGGCACTCCGCCAACCGTGCAGTCAGTCATAATAAAATAAAATAAATTAGTCATAATGATTATGTACTTTCTAAGTTTATTTAGACACCACAGACTTATGGTGAAGGAACACATCGTGACAGAAGAAAGAAGACGTTTATTTAGACTCGCACAGGACACAACAAAAAACAATAAAAATAACTACTTAATCTATATCAAACTTACAACATTTTACAACAAAACAAAAACATAAAACTAAAATTAACACAAAAAGGCTCCTATCTCAGCATATGCTGCGATATTAAACAAATGTTAAATAACGCAGCGCTGGTATTCAGATAGGGCCTATCTGACAGAAGCAGGACTTATAGATTCTTTCAGTTAGAAATCACCAAAATGCCTAGAACCATACTGGCTATTAATGGTCAAACCTTTTACGTGGGAGAAGAGGGTTTTTATTTAGCTGCGGGCAGTTTACGTTGGTGATGTGATAATGAATCGGCTTTCAAATGTTTTTGAAAATGATATTCGATATCTACATTAAAAATAAGCAAAGCTTCAACACTACTTCAGCTCATATTTTTTATTATAAATATTTTATTAAGTTAACTATTAATAAAACTGCAGGGAAAAATTACCTTTATTAAAGTCAAAATTGTGTCATAATCTATATCGTCGCCGGCGGTCACAAAATTAATAAAGCTCTGAAAAATAATAAAAATATAATTTTATTTTTTCGTCATCTCTTGATCTTTTTTGTCGTTCATTAGTATTATTTTTAGCTGAGACCTGATCTGCAATTTATCGCCTTTTAAATTAAGAATAATCTGGAGAGCATTATTTTGAATTTAATTGTGGAGGGGTACAATTAGCAATATATCTACTATTTGCACGTCGATTTTATAAAATTTGTTTGATTTTGAATCGTGTTCGAGTGCGAAGTGAGCGTCGAAGTGACGGGGAAATTAAATTTTAGAATGCCACTTTTAACGTCATTTCATACTTTATCTTTCAAAATGATGCTGTCAATTTAGTTCAACTCGCAAGTGTAGCGCTAGTGTACTACTACTCACGGCGGATTCAGATTCGAAGTTTAGAATGAAGTCTTACAGAATCACACCCCTGTGCTGATCGTAACTTTAAGAACTCTTTAGCTTATGTAAATCATACAATTGATTTTTTTGGCTGGACGACCGATGACAAGATTTTATTTTTTTAATTTGAAAACTGTGTTGTTTGTTCTTAATGATGCTGATAAATTGATAATTTCAATTAAAAAAAGTTTGCCACACCCGAAAATTTTCTTCTGTTGTCAAATTCACATATACAAGCGACTCAGACCCGTAACAACAATTTTTGATCACACACAGTCTTGTTCCGTACGGGAATCAAACCTACGACAAATTGCAAAAGACGCATTTGCCCGGCCACTGCTTCAACCGTGCAGTCATCAAATTGAAACGCAGACTCTTAACTTCTTACAATGCAACAAAAAACATTGCTTAATTATAAAATATGTGAAACGTTTAATAAATCATGGCCTTCTTTATTTAAAACTAAAAGCTTATAAATACTCAAGCCATACCTACCACATATATAATAGCAATATAGACATTCATATTGCTTCTCCTTTATACAAGAACTGTCACTATACAAACATAATCACACGACACCACAGGATAGAGTACGTATATGTAATAAAAGTTCAGCCATCAAAACCGCTGGAACTACAATATTGAATTCATACCGTGAAATAGGGCAGTTGTTCTACTCAACATGTGTGACAAGCTAAGGATGTGTGTTTGTTTGTACAGATATATTGGAAATAAGACTCGTAATGTAATATCTGATTTTTAAAGGCAATACGACGGCTCAGCTCGGAGTAGTAGGAACAGTTTTTAATTATTATTTTTTTCCTGCCAGTGACTTTATCAGGAAACTCTTATAAATTATATACCTCAATCGTTCTTTTAAATCATTCTATCTTTTTAAAAACCGCATGAAATTCGATCACATTGTTTTAAAGATTGATGCATGCATAGGGACAGACAGCGGGAAGCGACTTTATTTTATGCCATGTGGTGTCCTACTCAGGGCAGGAGAAGTCATGAAATAATGTTTCCCATTCTAAAAAGGCTAAGAGCGATTGTGTACTATATATAAAAATTCTACTACTGCCAGGCAATCCAATTTCTATGGTTAAATTTAAGACAAAGTGTTTTTTGCCGATTTGTCAAATGAACTAACTAATGTGAAAGATAAAAAGCTAACACAATAAACTAATAGCTACCGAGTTCAATAGCAACCATTGCTACTATATTTATGCTATTACCTAGCACTCTTTCTTTTGTTTTCGACGAAGTAATTAAACAGAAAAAGCAATCCCGTTATCTGTGAAACTGCAGGAGAAATTATGCTGAAGTAAAGGCACTTTATAAAATAAAAACTACATCCACGTTTACATAATGAAGTCGTTTCGTTAACTTTTGAAAAATCCAGCGTCAAAATAGAGACATAAAGACTAAATTAAGTTCTTTCAAAGGTATAATGAAAGTATACAAAACGTACATTATTTTTATTAAAAGGTTCATGGCCAGTAAAATACCTATTACACCAAAATAAAAAATGGTTTTAGAAACATTTATTAGACCACTAAGTGACTGCTCTCAACTCTGGAACACGCTTTTCAAAACTAATGATACGAAATTCCAACGAGACATCGAGCACCTTACTCGGGCCCTATCAAAATAAAAATCAGGTTAAATTCAGCTTTGGACATTTAATAATAAGGTTGAGAATCGTAGTAGTTGTTATAAAACAAATTTCAGAAGTAAAGTGTGCTCGTAGATACCCTTGCAACGATTCGTGCTTTATCTACATCTATTTTGTGGGCAAGTTCTCTTGAAGCGAACAGTTGAAGGCCGATTTGAAGCACCTTTCATGAGTTTAACCTTTTCACGGCCAGAAATATCTCAACGATTTAGAATTCAATAAAGAATCATCTCACCATTTTCGAGTTTACAATTAACTTCTTGCGTAAAACAAGAGGGTCATGGACCTTAAAGCTTCAATCGAGCTTACAGAATTATTTAGTTGTAAAACAACTATTATTGGAATATATGAATAACTTATTTTTAATTAAAGACTTCATCGGAATGGCCCTAAAACAATTAATATCAGCCATTTGTATCTACATATTTTAGTCCTAAATTGTTGAAATTTCAATTATTCAAAGTACTGATTGGATTTTAAGATCAATTAAACAGATCATGGTTATGTAACAGGGACGATTTTATTTCTTTATAAATCTTTTAAACTATCTCAAAGTAACGACATTTTGGTGATTAATTTGATTTGAAGATAAGCAATAAATTACTTTTTGTAAATTAAAAAAATATTACACTTGGCGCAAAATAATATGAGGTATATTCCGTAATCTCATGCAAAATTCATATAAATTTACATCAATTTGTCATTTAAAAAAGATTAAATTTGTCTTAGTCTCATCATCCTTATTTTGTGATAATTATAAATTGAATTACAATTTAATTCAAAAAGTATAGTCTAATTTGGGCAATAATAATTAATTGAAGATAAGTATAACAGTCTTCAGCAAACACAATTTTATACAAATAAGTTACTAATTAGCAGTAGCAAACTATGTCTGATCTTGAAAACGACTTTAATGTTTTAAGTCAATTTGACTAACTTTATTTTATTCAAATTGACTAATAAAATACGCAAAGTTCAGTATAAAATATAATTAAACAGTAAACTTAAATACAATAATAAATAGAGGTATATAGTTTACAAAAATAATGGAATATTACTATTTAATTAAATATAATTAAATTTGCCTTAATTTCTAAGGAATGTTTCTTTGGCTGTCTAAATAACTTAGGTAAAATATTGAAACTTAATTATATAGGAGGCTTAACTTTCTTTGAGAAACTGCCGATCACGTTGCCAGGGGGATTGTAGTTTGCAACAACGTAAATGTGGCCATCTTTAGATTTGGCCATTCCCACGCCGACTTCCTTTGTGTCTTCCCAAACGATTTGCGTAAAATGTCCTGACTTCAAGTCTAAAGGCTCTTGACCAAATCGGTGGAAACTCACTTCGCTGTACCATTTATCTACAGGATCCCTTCCAGTGACTGTGAAGTTTGGATCAGTAGACCATGCGGAAAATATGTTCTCTCCATAATCATTCTGATCCCTATGTTCAGTTTCCCCTTTCTTGGCTAACGTCTTCGCCCACTCCTCGGCGTACTTGCAAAGTTTCTTATTAAGTTCTAATGGAGGCACACCGTGGTTCCGCCTGTATTCATTGTGCGCCTTCAAAAACTCTTCGTCAAATTTCTCGTTGGATGTTGAAGAAGATATTGTAGACGATCGGAATTTGTTCACCAAATCTGATGCGATGTCGCTAAAATTTTTACTATTCCTTTGATTTGATGGTGACGGTGGGGATAGGTTATTGTTAGACTCTCTCTGAGAGGTACCATTGCTACGTTTAAACTGGTTCGCACCAGGGGGATAAACATTTTTGATAAATTGTCCGCTGTAATTTCCTGGTGGGTAATAGTTCGCTACAACATAGAGTTTCCCAGATTTGCTCTTGGCGCTGCCGATTCCTAATTCCCTTGTACCTTTCCAGACTATCTGAGTGAAGTGTCCGCAATTAAGAACCTCTGGTTCTCTTCCAAATGAGAAGTTGTTTATTTCACTGTACCATTTTTCAACACAATCCCTTGCTTTTATTTTTGTGCTTGGGTCAGGAGACCAGCCGCAGTAGACGCTCTCTCCATAGTTCTGGTTGAGGCTGTAGGCTAGGGAATCTTTTTTGGCAAGATCTTCAGCCCATTTCTGACTGTGTTTGCTGATTTCTTTGCTGAGGACAAGAGGTGGGACTCCATGTTCAGCTCTAAATTCGTTGTGAACTTCCAACGCTTCGAGCTCGAATTCGCTAGATTTCGAAGTGAAGAGTTTCGTCTGTAAAAGAAGAATGATTGAATTAGTTATATCACAGTTACATTGTGTTTTATAGATAAAGGTAATGTTATGACGTCATTTAGCGATAAAAACACAACTATGTATCTTATCGTCCGTCGATTAAAATTCTTATTTTGAAATTCTTGCGTCAATCTTGCATTATAGGCTGTTGTGAGGTGATCATTTGTTTCAAATTTGTTCGAGTTTTATTGTATTGCAAATGATAATATCAAACACTGAACAACGACATCATTCAGTTTTATCATATCACCAACATGAATTTAAATCTCTAGAACTTTCTAATTACCAGATATGAAACACTTGTTATGTACATTATTACCTAATACCTTTATTAGCTATTATCATGACCAGTAAATCCAAACGAGTCTGATACATTTCCTTGCTTATTCAGAACCTATAAACTCATTGAGATTGACTCATACTTCGCTCAGTCATACTTTAATTGCTTGATCCTTCTTCAAACCATACAATGGTTGCATTGAAAGTAAAATTTTACGATCTGATAAAAATATCTTGTTTCATTTAGGCACAGTCATTTGAAATGTTAAATTTACTATGATAACATTAATGGGTAATTGTTAGTCATAATCATTTCCTGTAACATACCTTTCTATTTGCTAAAGCGAAAAAAATATAATTATATGACATGAATTTACACGTCATTATTGTTTCTTTTTCTTCTTATTTCAGTTGAAAATTAATTACTTAAATTTAATAAAACGAATACAACATTTTTAGGTAATAAAATGTTTATATTAGATCGGAAAAAATATGAAAAACTACCTAGTTTTATCATGAAAACCAACCTACCTAGGTACACAATATTTACATTGTATGTACATATATAATATAATATATCATAGCGACAAAATCAACATAATATTATGTACATTATGATTAACCGATATATCTATACTTTTACACTTCCTATCCAGATAATGGTCGTGCAAACATCTTAATCAATGAATCAGTAAGCAAAGTTTTCATGGCCAAGGAATGGCTAATCTTCCACAATGTCACTGTCACTGTGGCCCTGTAACTATATTTTGTCGCTTATGGTGATTTTATACAGAGTCTGGCGAGTAATTACATGAACACATGGGAGAACAAAAATGGCGCCCGACTCAGCTAGACTAGCTATGTGTATACTATATGTTTAATGGAGAAATTTTGACAGAAAAATATTATTTCAACTTTTAAATGGAATGAAATATAAAAGTATTAATCTCTCTCTTTCATAGATTCTACAATATATTTATTTATATTATTTCGAAAATAATAAATAAGTATGCTTTGAGACATGCAGACCTCACGAAATTTATAGAAAACTGATATTTTTAATCATAAAATTAATCGGAAAATATTGAGTAGTGTTTCTTTTGATTTTTTTGTGTTTATATTGTTTTAAAATGTAACTATTATTAAAAATGGAATAGTTTTTATAAAATTTAATTTTGAAAAGTTTCAAACCAGTTCGTGAATATTACAAAAGTGAAAGTTTATAAGCATCGATTATAACTCTTTCATATAAACACTTCTGAATAGATTTTAATGAAAATCGGCTCAAGATATATTCAATAAGTACATTATCTACATTAAGGAAATAAACATAGGCTTATTTTCATTCGGGTTACGGGAAAGTATCCAATGGCAGAAGTCAGTCTTAAATTCCTAGTGCAATCGGCAATTACAAGAAACGCTTATGGCCCAAGTGGTTCGCCATTAATAGCTAAGCCGGACGTGTGAATCAAATTTCTCAATAACTACTATCAAAGTATTGTATTCAATGAGAATTTTCCCTATATCCACTGATAACAATTACATAAAATTACGAATTTGTATCTATGAGGTACAATTTATGCATGTATAAATAAAAATCTACATAATTATATGTAGTCGTATATTGTTGAGGCGCCCGCTTCTCATGCATGAGATAACAGATTCGAAACCTGGCAAGTAACAATATCACTTTTTCCGAGTTATACGGACTTTCTAAAGTTATTTAGACGTCACTGCCATACGGTGAAGGAAAACATTGTGTGAAAACCTGAACTTTTGATTTCTAATAAGTCTGAAATCGCTTATTCGTCCTGAGCAAGCTTGCTCAAACATTAATTTTGTGAGAAGAGGCCTTTGCTCAGCAATGAGCACTTATAAGCTGATGATGATGATGAGGCAATTATAGGCTAGTGATGTGATGATGTGATATATGTAATGTGCCAAAAAAGACCAGCGCTATTGTCTATGTAACCACAATTGGTAAAATAATGAAACTAGTTAGTAAATAATATGAAAACATCCTGTTTACACGCATGATATACAATCATAATCTATAATAGCTAATAGTTATTTTAATCCATAAGAATGTTTGGAACTATAAGATTAAATGGGTGAAGTTGTAAAGATAAAAAAATATCTTAGAACTTGTAAATTCTAATTTAGAATAAGGAAAAACAATGTATTGTCAGACTAAAGTGATACAAATACATAGGTATTATCAGAGTTATATACATTTTATCGGAAATATTAAAATATTCGTGGAACTTGTTTAGTTGTGTAATTAATTTGTAAATGTTTTACTCATTACGGTGAAACTAAATACTGAGTGGTAGCCATTAAAAGTTAACTCAACAGATATCGAGGCGGGCCCAGAAGGAGATGGTGGAAGGAACTTGGTTTCGACGAGGATTGACCGTATAGCTTTCTGCAGAGAAGAGTGGAAGAAGGGTAGAGAGGTTTTTTCCTGTAGTGAGTTGACAACGGCTTACAATAATAAACATATAATTATGTATTTACTAGCATCCCGTCCCAGCTTTGATGTTACTATACATATAAACCTTTCTCTTCAATCATTCTATCCATTAAGAAACCTCATTAAAATCCGTTGTGTACTTTTAAGCATGCGTAGGGCCAGAGAAGGTGACTTTGATTTATAATACTATGTGGCGATATTCCGCTACCATATTTTACTTTTAAAAACTACAATAGTAAATGATGTTATGGAATGCACTAGTGCACCGTAAAGACCCTGTTTTGGTTATATTCCTATTGTATTAAATAGAATTTTCGAAATATCCATTTGAATCGCCATGTGACAAAATTATGTCAGAATAAGAAATTGGGACTCGGGATATGTTTGAATGAAAATAAAATAAATTAAAGATTAAAAGTACCTACTTAAGCATCATTAGGGTTGACGAATTTTTTTGTCTATGTTTCAACGATTCATTGGTATTCGAAATATTGTGTGACGTCACTATTATACTTTCTGTCGACGCAGCTAGCTAACATCCCTCAACTTTAATACAGTTTAATTACCTATGTATTATTTTGTAAAAAAAAACATTTTAAATATTATGTCTTACTCACGTTGGTAAACTAAGAAAAGTGCTACTAGTTTGAAGTCATAATGGGACTCTTATTCGACTGAAAAAAAATACGTGTATAATGTTTTAATTTTGTACATTTCCTATATAGTCATCCCTATTTATATAACTAGATGTACTCACAATAGATGTATAAAACATTTAGGGTATATAGTAGGTACGTAGGTATGACATTTGACAAGTAGCAGTCGGCTACTATTACAGTCAATTGAGGATATGATGAATTGTACCGCTCGCTGTCATCGTGTCAATACTCAGACGGGTCTTGCGGTCTGTGACCTTAATCCGTAGTCATTTTTTACGTAAACTAACGTATTTTTGTATTTTATTGTTTTTGGTACTTAGTATTAGTTCTTTGGTTTTTTTGATTGCCTATGAAGTCTAGCGTAACTTTCACGTATGAATGAGGGTTTGAGTTTTAGAGTGGGTACGGATATGTTTTTTTTACGGGTAAACTTATCTAAAGGGGGTGTTTCTGACACTTGCTGACTGTTTCTGAAACGTTTGATATAAAATTGAATTGTTTTTAAAGGTTTAAAGTATAATTATGTATAATCAAATTTTATATATGAGTTTTTCTTAAATTATTAGAATTACAAACAAAAATTAAATTCGTTAAAAATTTTACAATATAGAATTCAACACGATTAACGTAGTCTTCTTCTTCCAAGTCCTCAGAATTGCGGGTATCCATGGCAGGCGCCGGTTGCTTAACTATGCCATCATTATGATCCTTCTGCTAGTTTGCTTCTCTTGTTCTTCTTACACGGAGAAAGTATGAGCTTTAATCGCAAAGCTTGGTCAAAGCGGATTGGCTATTTAAAGTTAATAATTATAATTAGGGTATGTCCAGTTTTCCTCACGATGTTTTCCTTGGTCGTACGTAAGTGATGTTGAAATAAGCTCAGTAAGCCTATCTCATAAAATATAACATTTGAAATTGAATTATATTATTACAATTCTTTTATCAAATACACAAATATCTACATGTGTAACAACGAGAGTATTATCTTGAATATTTTCATAAAAATGTTGACGGTTTCCGCTGTTTTACCTTAACACGTGAGCGTACACCGCGAAAGCCTTTTATAAAGGGTGTTTCCGGAGTGTAAGTGGGTTCGTTATAAGGGATGTTCTCATATTTATTATTAATAAAAACATTATAAAGATACCCTATGAATATAGAGTGGGATTTACTGTTTGATTCTAATTTATAATGGAGAATGTTTATTGCCTTTATGGTTTCTCATTAGTAGGTATGATTTATTTTATGTATTTATATTTACAGGGAAATTATTTCGAGTCTTTGATATGTTATTGAAAGTTCTTCTTTTATAAATAATTGGAAAGTGGTTCGTTTTCCTCATAATTATATTATGTGAGATTTCCATTACTTTTAAGATATGTATATTAGAAAATATGTTTTGTTGGTTTTTACAAGTCCCTTTGAAGGTTTAAAAAAATAGTGTAAAATTGATCTCAAAAATGGCTAAGTAAATAAAACGACTGCAAAACAATGATCAAATACAAAAATATTATTAACTATGACCATTCTCAATGACCACTGTTTACCACAAAAATCAAGCGAGCACTACATATTTGATAATAAAATAAATAATCATATTTTACATTAAAATTATTATTTCACTTCAAATCACGAGGAAATTAACGTAATCATTGTTCTAAGCACAACTTATTACAGATACGTTAATCGCTATCATATTTTTAATACATACTAGAAATTTCTCTTTTTAACATACTCTTTTTAAAACGCCAAATAGCAACAAGAAATTTAAAAGAACTGAAGTAAAAAATTAAAAACAAGAATGATTTGTTTGTTATCGATTCTAAATTTGAACAGCAAACACTGACCTATACCAACATTGGACAAAAAAAAGAAAAAAAAACTATTTACCATTGTTTTCTCGACCTAACCTCGCTATAGAAGACGTCTGGTTCTCACTAAATATTACTGTGTTATATCCTGACCAAATCTAGTAGGCAGTGTATCCTTACCAATGTAGTTCTTATCGCGATAAACAGTTTCGTCCAATGTACACCGAGCTATCGAGTTCTGTATTCAATCGTGATAACAATGAAATCGAGTTTTTTTGTTTTGCCGATTTTCGGCAGGAGAAGTGTTCGATAGTAGTTGTAGAAATTAGAATACGTTACATGTTTTAAAAACCTCCTTCAATGGAACCTTTGTTTATTTTGAAAAATAGAAATCAGTCAAAATTATGGAACTCAAATCTAATGAAACCCGATCAGTCATTGAGGAGGGCTGCGTGGTTGCTGGGTTTACTTCTTTTTGTATTACTTTTATTTTTTATGTTTTCGTTGTATTTGTGAAGTTTTTTTACCTAGTTTTATTATAAATTAATTCGTTTTTCAATTAACTGCTATTAATATACACGATGTTATTAACGCTACAGTCGTGGTGGCCCGGAGGTTAAGGAGCCCGCTTCTCATGCATGAGGGCGTGGGTTCGAAACCTGGCAAGTACCAATATGACTTTTTCCGAGTTATATGTACTTTCTATGATTATTTAGACACTACTGACATACGGTGAAGGTAAACATCGTGAGGAAACCTGGACTTATAATTTCTAATTATAAGTTTGAAATCGCCAACCCGCACTGAGCAAGCGTGGTGATTAATGCTCTAACCTTCTCCGTATGAGAAGAGGCCTTTGCTCAGCAGTGGGCACTTATAGGCTGATGATGATGATGATTAACCGCTCTGCTAAAAATACACAAAAAGAGTTTGTTTCGACATTTCTTTTCAGAGTAGTTAGGTAGGAAATGCGGGCTTCATCTAGTTTTTTTACATATAATTTTGACGTGTAAAAGTGCTGTTTTATGGTCTATTTACAGAAATAAATTCATTGTTTCATTGTTTGAGATCTATTTTAGTAAAGTTTTTTTTTAATAGTTTTAGTATTTCATATTATTTACATTGAACTTTTAAAATATAACTGGTTGACCGAAATGCTAGGTATCGGTTTCTGTAATTGTAACTAGTGGAATACAAAATTGTTAAGAACACAAAAATGCCTACTACACCATCTTTTCAATTCTTCATACACCGGTTTGTGAAGTCAACAAATCGATTCTTTTTCCGTGTCGATTAATAGCAATCGATACACGACTGTTTTCAGTGAATGTATTTTCGATTTATCAAAGTAATATCGTTTCTGATAAAGAAAAATGTTGATAAAACTGAATGTGAGCGTGACTAAGCCAACGTATAGTTTCTACTGTAAAAGAAAGGGACAAAAGATTTGGAACTACACGTCATTATAATAATCTATACATATATCTTAGTATATAAATGTGTATCTAAATCAAGGTTATCTTAATTTTATTTTAAATTATAACATGTCAATTTTAGTCGATTACAAGCTAAATGTGTAATGGCGTACCTAATTGATATTAATTAGAGATCAGAGTCTGCCTACTTCGAGCGTGCAGCGTTTAATTTACAGATATTATGTAGTTATTTTATTTAGTTGTTTTTATCAACACTTTATAATTTTAGGTAGGTTTTATGTGGTACATAATCATTATCACAAATTCTCTCATTATTTTTAAATAAAAGGTACGGTTTATTTACGTGAACTTCTCATGGGAATTCTGTGCTACTAGTTACTACAAAGTTACTATCACAATGGTACTCCTATTATTATAGGTGTCTTCAATACTTCTCATCATTAAGCCAGACATTTAATAAATGTTTATGTTTTATATAAAAAAAAAAACACTTTACCATTTATTTAGTATCAATTCTTCAACAATTTCCTTAACTATGCCCGGATTGCTGTGTCTTATTCAGTAGACAAAACTTAAACTATTGAAACAGTTTTTAAGTTAAAAGAATAAGAAATTGTCCCAGGATAAATAAAATATATGGGATCAGAACCATAAGTATTACGATTATATTATGCCAACGAACTATTATCATTCGAGTCATTTAATGTAAATACTTTTAATTTAAGTATAGATTTCAAAGAATTGAATAACTGTTTTAAAACCCTGGAACTTCTATTACAACAAAAAAAAAAAACATAATATATATTTCCTTAAACTCTTGACTGCACTTTACATAAACTCATTCAACTCATACATTGCCGTTAAAACTACTAAAAGTAACTATAAATACAAAAATATACCGCAACAAGCCTAATACCAGCGCCACAGTCAAATTATTGCCACACTTTACGCAATAAAAATACAAAATTTGACCTACTTTATACATTGTTGGGGATATAAACCTTTTCACTTCCGTAGAACAATAATTCACAATACGCCACTTATGTTTGTTATTCCAATAAACGTACAAACAATCAAACATACTGACACAACGATATTCGTCAGATAAATGACGGACCACAGACCGAATATAAAGGTAATCGTTATAAAAAAAGTCACGCAAATTTTGATAGTACACGTAAAACCTTTTGTTGTTAACTCTGACTGTGTGATTCACTTTGTTTTTTTTTTGTTACAACTTGTACCTACTAACGGATAAGGTAATTTGCACACTAATAGGGGAGATCGGGGATCTTTTTTTTATGTTTGAGTAATTTAAAACAATATTTAACATTATATAGTACCTATCTCTTTCTATTATAAAATATATTTACTATATTTTTATTTATTTTTATTTAGTATATTTTTTATACTGAACAGTAATTATGGATTGTTAGATTGAGATACAAAAAGAACTTGTCTAATATTTTTATTAGGTATATAATGTGCGTTTTTCATTAAATTGCTTTCTTTATAGCAATTGGTCCATTTATACACACATTTTGTAAACCAAATATTTTGAGTAAGATGTACCTAACAAGTAGTAGTATTTTTATTTCTAAAATTTGTATTTTTATTTATAACTAAGTATAAATATATTTTTTTAAATTTTAGTCTATTTTATTACATTTATTACACTAGCCCCGATCTCCCCTAAATTGGTCGATGCATTGAGTGGCGCAAAAAACAAAAAATTACGTCCGACTTCTAACGACCAGGAAAAAGTTGATCATAGTTCTTGGTAAGTTCATTGTAATGAGGGATACGCTTTCGCCTCAAATATTTTGCACTTTCTGTTTTTTTTTATTCTGACTAGACCACAACATGGGAATGATATAGTTTTTTTATTATTATTAAAAACTTTGTAAAGATGGAAAGTATGTTGGTCGATTAATCCTACGGGCATAACCTATCAGTCAAATTAACGGGTATGCAGGAAGGACTTGTATTTAGCCAACTTTTTTTTATTTGGCTGTTGAAAAATAGTGTTAGATAAATGTACGAATAAGAATGTGTTATTAGCCAACAGCACTGGGCAAATCATTTCCACAAAAACATTTATGTTATGTAAAAAAAACATTTTCTTGATCGTATACAACACAGTCATAATACTAAATGCCTTTTTACATAAAATATAACGTACCACGATTCTATTTCTTGGAAAGAACTTACAAAAATATGTAAAACGAAAAGTAATAAAGAAGCATACTAGCGGCACAACTTTCATAAATCTTATATCACAATAAATAAAGAACGATACAGTCTAAAATAAAAACATTTCGAGAAGCAAAGTATTGCTGCATAAATGTCATAAATTCAGTTGTGCATGCAACCAGCCTTAGTAACTGGGTCGTGAAGTTAATTGAAACTTCATATTTTGGTCGTTAACCTCAATAATTGTGAGAACGGGCATTCGCAGAACGAGAGGGTTATGCGCTTATCTCATTTGAGAATTAGTCTGAATTGCTCTTTTATTACAGTTGTTCGTCTAGCCAGAGCAGGGATGTTGAACCTTTACATATAAACTTAACGTGCTATTCGGGAAAAATATGTTTATTGGGATCATAGTCATTTACCATAAATTTTAACTTTATAAGACTTACTACTCGTTATGGAGAAACTTACGAACCGTCAGAGGTCAGTTTTACTATAATACTATCATCATTATCAGCCTATAAGTGCCCACTGCTGAGCAAAGGCTTCTTCTCATACGGAGAAGGTTAGAGCATTAATCACCACGCTTGCTCAATGCGGGTTGGCGATTTCAAACTTATAATTAGAAATTAAAGTCCAGGTTTCCTCACGATGTCTAAATAAGCATAGAAAGTACATATAACTTGGAAAAAGTAATGAGAAGCGGGCTCCTTTATCTCCGTGCCACCATGACATCTATAATACTAGTACACCTTAAATACTAAAATCAAAGAACAATAAAATTTTGTAATCAGTGCCATCTTCAAAATTTTGTGTTGCTTGCCTTTGGTTTGCCATCCCTGAGACAGAATCTAAAATCATCACCAGGTATAAGTACTCATCGGTGAGCAAAAGCCAGTCAAAGTAAAAGGAAAGGTACAACGAGTAATCGATGGTAATAATTAAAAAATATGCCAAATTCCTTTAAACCAATTTCTAAATTCATACACGGTGAGTCACCCATCCAATTCATGATTATGACCCCTAAGATTGCTTCGGTCTTAATTAAATATATCTGATTACTTTCCCGTTTGGTTTCTAGAGTAGTTCTTGAGTTATTATGAATTTATTTATTGGTAAATTGCTATCGATTCTATCTTTAGCCAGTTTCACGAAATAAACTTGTTAAGAATTTGTAGTGTTCTTTTTTTGTTACTTTGTATGCGAAAGAAAATGTTTTCCCAAATTTTATCTTCGTTGTATCATGCTGTATCATTCTGCATGCAAACGATAAAAAAAAAATTCTCTCGAAGACAATACAATATTTTGAACACAATAATATTATTTATTGTTATGTACATACATTGCATTTCAATATATTCCCATATCAGATAAGATGTTAAAATGAAGGGCCACTATCTTATTGCACGTGCTTATCAGTGTTTATATAACATATGTTCATATTACTGACATACAGTTTAGAGTCACTGAAGTGAATATAGGTATACGTTATAACAGCTAACAGCTGTTGTGGGGTACTTGCATGTCAGTTTACACTTGAGTCCGTTTCATCAGTAATGTCGTGGAAGCCCGGAGGTTAAAGCTTGTCATACGCGATGTTGTTCGGACCTGGCAAGTCCCAACATGACCTTCTTTAAAACATATATCCTTTTTTGATTATTTAGACACCAATGAATATTGGTGATGAAAAACATTGGATGGTAATCTAGATTTATAATTTCTGATTGCCAATTTGAAATCACAATTCCGCCTTTAGTAAGCGTGGTAATTAATGCTCTCACCTTCTACATATGAGAAGAGACCTTTGCTCAGCAGTGTGTTTTTGCAGAAGTTATTTGCTGGGGATGATGCTGATATAAGTATAAATTTATCTGGCAGATAGTTTATACAAATTACGTATTATATATTCAAATGTATATGCTTCATAGTGGCTAACCACATTTAAACAGGCCAGCGCACAAGCGCATAATATAAGTCACATGTAAGTGTTAAAATGAATAAAGTTAGATAGGTATTTTTGTTAAGTCATTAAAATATAATAATGTGCCGTTACAGATTGCCAGCACTAAAAAATATTATTTGTATTTTACATTAAAATATGAACGCTGGATTTGTTTACAAAAACTTGACATCTT